CTTATTTCTATGTTCCAGGTTTACCATCAGGACAGACCATGCTACATTACGCCGATTAAGATCATTAAAGAACCCAGACGGACAACTGGCACGTTGGATCAGAAAGATAGATCAGTATACTTATGATATTGAATACAGAGAAGGAAGATCTCATGGAAATGCCGACGGACTGAAGTGAAGACCCTGCAAAAATGACTGCAGACATTGCTGCAAAATAGAGGTTGAACTAACCAGGTGCCATCAAGCTGAAGTTGAAAGTGACGAGAAACGTGCTGACTATGGAATTACTGTGTACTAAAAGTTTGTATCGAGAAAGAATAAACTGGTTTAATCAAGAAAGGACTTGAACCGCTGAAGTTTCTCGGAAAGAATTTCTACCGGAAATTAACAAACAAGCAGATACGTAACAGTATTTTAACACATATCTATCTACTTGCCCTTAAAATATAAAGAAAAATAAACGTTTATTACTACTCGGCTAACACACGATGTTGTAGAAACGTCGTGTGTTAGCCAAGATATACCAAATATCTTTTATCCTTTAATTGTACATGTTTCCCGTCATTCCTAACGGGGTTTTATACCACTGCAGTACTAGTGTTGGTTATATTTACACATGGTCGATTTGTCTATTAATATTATCGTTTACTACGCTTGTTCGTTTCGTTTGCATTTTTGTAGTCGAAATCACTAACTATTTATTTCTGTCTTCTCATCAAACAACGCAATCAACTTTTACACATTAAATAACACTGATTCATCAAATACTTGAAATAGCACGCCTAGAACAATTTCTTGTTCTGGACAATGAACGCGATATTTTATCAGTTTGGTATTAAGTTAAAGTATTTGCCCTTCACTGACTGCAACATTATACGTCTTGTTCTTTATACTTGCATGCACAGAGCCTTTTAGAACACCTTCTGCATACTGAACCTGTAGTGATTTTATCCCTTCTTCATTGACTTTGATTTAGAATCAAAATAAACAGCGATGTTGCTTCACAAATACAACGAAGTCGTGGTGTTTGTTTAGAACTAGTGGGTCACGTGTGACATAATCTCTTCGGTACTCCATTTCGAGCGCCATAGATCTACAACTTATGTGCCATCTAGAAAAGTATCAATTTATGGTATGCATTGCAAAATAAAATCTAATTCAATGTTTATCTATCAGAGTAATTAAAAAAATATTTACAATTTTGTTGATATATTATGAGGAAAAAAATAAAATAGTTCATAATAAAATTAGATCTGAATATTAGTATTTATTAAAAGTATTTAAAATAAATTTGAAATATCGTTATAAATAA